CTTGAAGTGGTCGTTAAGAGTACGAAAATACTTCATTACTTTGTCTTTTTTACAACGAAACATAGCCATGTTCAAAAGGGACTGGCAACGCATGCTACGAACATGACATAAAGAAAAGTTAGTGAATATTGCCTTGTGGGCACATCTATCACTATTACAACAAAATATCATCCATGTATCACAGCCTGCCACACACACACACACTGGTTTTCTCACATTTGCCGGAGGAAGACTATCTCAGCAGTCTCAATGCTTTGTTCACACTATCATCAAAAAGTCGATATTGGTGACAAAACACAAGTATAACTGATGTCACATGACAAAAATAGTCACCAAAGTAACAGTAAGCAGCAGTAGATTTCAAAATTACTATTAACAGGACTAACCCTATTGACTACACATCCTATTCCTTTCTGCTTCTGGACTTGTTCTTCACCATGATTTTCATGTGAACCAAAGAACTAAACCCCAAAATCTTTTAGTTCCATGAAAAGCTGTAAACTCAAATCAAGTACTAGTTAGATAAAGGAAATAGTACACACCATAGGACAGCAAATATTCTCTCCTGTGTCGGGGCATCAGAGAAGGATTTTAATGACATTACGAACCTAAAGACAAACAGACAAGTAAACTAAGTCAAACAAGGGCAGTTAGAAATGCCAGACTAAAATCTCATTGTGTTTGTTGTAGCTTTAGACTGATTTTGCCTGAAGATACAAGAGCAAAGTAGAAAAATGAGACATTAGAGTTACAATCCAGGCCACTCGGAATACAAAATGAGGATTCTCGGCAGGCCTGTCTACCTGCTTGAAACCAAGTAGAGCTATGTCCTCACATAGATCCCCGTTGAAATGCAGATAGTAAACCAAGCACAGGGCTTAAACTGAGACGCTATGGCATCTGATAAGAAGGCTCAACTGGAAAAAACAAACTCTCTACAAAAGGTTTGGCGCTTCACAGTGCTCTTGACAAAATGATCGAGCTGGACCACTAATTCTATTCTAACATTTCACCTAGAATGTAAATTTAGTTTGGGGGTTGGGGAAAGTCCAACCAAAAGCCTTGGACCAGTAACGTTTTAAGGCGTCCTTCTCTTGAATTGTCTTCATACTAAGGGTTAAACAGACTAAGGAAATAAAGGCGAGGAAACAAAAATACTTAAAGAGGATCACACACTTATTTGGCACTTACTTAATGAGATCTATAGTTTCTGAGTAGATAGAGTAAGCCGACTTTGACGCTGGGCTTTCAGACTCCATGGCAATTCCACACTCAATAAAGGACAAGACGGCTTCCAAGTACTTAAAAGCTTTCCCGACCTTGTCCGTCTGTAAGAGAAGAACACTGTCATTGTTAGGCCCAGGACAGGCATCTATTTAGTTTCTCACCCACATTCTTCACTGTAACTTTCCTCTACTGTCTTAGTTTAATTATGGCTGGAGTACAAGTGTCAGACTAAACGAACTCAAGATGATAACAGAATGTTTGGACCTACTGAACATTCTCTTTTAGCAAAAACTCAGGAGGAAAAAGAAACAATCTGTACTGAGTTTTACTCTTAATACAAATACTTCAAACCTCAGAAAGGTTAAGATTCAAACTAAAGCAGTTGAGTTTATAGTTCCCTTGTTATAAGGTGCAATTATTCATTATATAACTCTCGAGAGAAGGGATTATTCTACACAGCTAGAGCAATACAGACACAAAACTCTCTGTACTGAGGTTTATCTTAAGCCGAAAATATTTATTACAGGTTATGAACATCTTAGATATGTCTAACAAACAGCTGCTTTATGCATTTTAAGAGTCCAGTGAATTATTTACTGCATGTTGATATCTGAGTATACAAAGCCATCAGGGATATAATCTCAGAGTCCCTTAGAGGGAATGTAGAAATATCAATGAAATCAGATGTTGGTGAACATCCTAAACCTGAATTATACATTTTAACACTTTGTCTTTTATCATTAAATGGCATATGCTCAACTGAAAATATAGTAAGAAGCAGCATTCTGTGGCTTTAAAAAAAAATTAGGAGGTCTTAGCTTATTTAAGCAGCTCTGATGGTGCCATGAGTAAGCTCTTGGCTGCTAACCAAAGTAGGTAGTTTAAACCCACCAGTTGCTCCATGGGAGAAAGATAGAGTGACGTGTCAATCTCCTTTCATACAGATTTCAGCTTCGGAAACCCTATGGGGTGGTCGTTGTACCCTGTTCTACATCACTGTTATGAGGGGAAATTGGCTTGACAGTACTAGGCTTAGGGTTTGAGGTTCTTATAGAATTACTTCCTGAGACTCTCAGGTACTATACTCCAAGGATCAGGGGCAGAAACTTTTTCTTGATGAGTCTGTATCAAATGACTTTAATGTTTATCATTCTTGTGCTTTTCCAGCTCTTGTTGTTAGATGCTGCTGAGTTGTGTATGATCCATGGTATAAACTCAAAGACATGTGGTTAGAATCCACCAGCTGCTCCAGAAGAGAGATGGGCAACGCCCTCCTGTGTTATTTGTTGCTGTTGTTATGTACCATCAAGTCGGAACCAACCCAGAGATGCCCCTACAGGGGTTTTCAGAGGCAGTAAACTGCATGGAAGGAGAATGCCCACCCTTCTCCTGCGGAGCAGCTGGTGGATTCCAATTGCATGCCTTCAGGTCAGTAGCACAGCTCTTTAGCACTTGGCCACCAGACCTCACCTGTGTGATTTACCATCTCTGAAAACCTGCTGGACAGTCAGCTATGAGCTACATTGGTTCTGACTCATAACAACATATGTATTCAGAGTACTGAATGTACTAGGTAATAGTTTCTGAAATATTCTTTTAAACTTTGAAATAATATTTATAAAAAACCCCAGAACTCAGAGAATTAGTGACAAAAATCAAAAGAATAAAACTAGCACACCTCAGTTAGGTAGTAGTATTGGTTTGCATCATTGGTGGGAACTTTAACTTCTCACCATTTCTTGCATAGGATTCTAAAGGCCTTGAACACGAATGAGTGAAGACCAGATGAGCTGTGGGAGGGTATCAAGGGTATCATTCAAGAAGAGTGCAAACATTCACTACAAAGACAGGAGAGGAAGAAAAGACCAAAATGGATGTCAGAAGAAACTCTGAAGATTGCACTGGAGTGCAGAGAAGCCAAAGCATACGGAAGAATTCAAGATACCAAAGAGCTGAAAAGAAGATTTCAAAAGGCAGCACGGGATGACAAAGAAAAATATTACAATGAAATGTACAAGGAGGTGGAGTCAGAAAACCAAAAGGGTCGAACTCACTCAGCATTTCTTCAGCTAAAGAAAATGAAGAACAAATTCAAACCTCGAGTTGCTATAATCAAGGATGCTTTAGGCAGAGTATTAAAGATCCAGGAAGTATCAAAAGAAGATAGAAAGAATATACTGAGTCATTGTATCGAAAGGAATTGGCACACACAGAACAATTTAATGAAACAACATATGAGCAAGAGCCTATGGTGATGAGAGAAGAAGTTCAAGCTGCTTTTAAGGAAATAGCAAAAAATAAGAGCCCAGGAATAGATGGTATACCAATTGACATATTTCAGCTAACAGATGCTGCCCTGGACATGCTCACCAAGTTGTGTCAAGAAATATGGAGAACAACCACTTGGCCAACTGACTGGAAGAGATCTCTATTTGTTCCCATTCCAAAGAAAGGTGACCCAACAGAGTGTGGAAACTATAGAACGGTATCATTGATTTCACATGCAAGCAAGAGTCTGCTGAAGATTATCCAAAAACGACTGGAACAGCACATCAGCCGAGAACTTCCAGAAGTCCAGGCTGGGTTTAGAAGGGGTTGTGGTACTAGGGATATTGTAGCAAATGTTAGATGGATCTTGGCTGAAAGCAGGGAGTACCAGAGGAATGTCTATCTGTGCTTCATTGATTATGCAAAGGGGTTTGACTGTGTGGACCATAACAAACTGTGGCTGACTCTGAGAAGAATGGGAATCCCAGAACACTCGATCATGCTAAAGTGAAACTTATACTTGAACCAAGAGGCAGTCGTCAGAACAGAGCAAGGAAACATTGCATGGTTCAAAACTGGGAAGGGTGTATGCCAGGGATGTGTCCTGTCTCCATACCTTTTCAACCTGTATCCAGAACAGACCATCAGGGAGGCTAGGCTCTCTGAGGAGAAATGTGGCATCAGGATTGGTGGAAGATCCATAAACAATGTACGTTATGGAGATGACACAACCCTGCTTGCTGAAACTGAGGAGGACCTGAACCGCTTGCTGCTGAGGGTCAGGGACTGAAGCCTTCAATATGGATTGAGGCTCAATGTCAAGAAGACAAAGATTCTCACCACTGGACCAATGGCAGCATCAGGATGGATAGTGAAGAGACTGAGATTGTTCACAGCTTTAATTTGCTTGGCTCCACAATCAACACTCTTGACACCAGCAGCCAGGAAATTAAAAGACATATTGCCATGGGAAAGTCTGCTGTTAGGGACCTCTCCAAAGTACTGAAGAGCAATAGTGTGTCTCTGGAGACTAAGGTGCGTCTGGTACAGGCCATGGTCTTTGCAATCACTTGTTATGTGTCAGAGAGCTGGACAATGTCCAGGGAGGATAGAAGGAGAATTGATGCTTTTGAGCTTTCGTGTTGGAGAAGAGTGCTGAGGGTACCACGGACTGCTAAGAAAACAAACAGATTTATCCTGGAGAGAGTTCAACCAGGTGGCTCCTTGGAGGCAAGCATTCTGAAACTTCATCTGACCTACTTTGGTCGTGTTGTAAGGAGGGCCCGGTCCGCGGAGAAGGACATCATACTTGGGAGGGTTGAGGGCAGGTACAGGAGGGGAAGGCCCTCTAGGAGGTGGATTGATTCGGTGACTGGGGCAACTGGGATGAGTGTGTCGGAGACAATGAGATTGGCACAGGACAGAGCAGAGTTTAGAGCTGCTGTACATAGGGTCGCTATGAGTTGCAAGCAACTCGATGGCACATAACAACAACAATGTTGAGCTTTGGTTAGGAACTAAAGAACTAAATTTTAGCAATTTGTCAATATCTACTTCTCGAGGTGCTATATAAGCCTAATCTGAATATATGTATCCTGCAATAACCCTCTCTGTATCTCCTGTGATACTGGCAGACTAACATTGTGGAGTTCTCGTTTCTCAATCCAATAGCGAGTATAATATAGAGGCGAATATACTCTTCTGTACTCAGTTGTGCACTTTTTAACTATCTGGAAGGCCAAATGCACATTTTTGAGACATTGCCAGATTAAATGAAGATGTTATGGAGAGGGTGACCATACAGAAGTCACTGTACAAACTGGGCTATTCAGAACAAGCACAGACCAAGAATCCAAGAATCCCTTGGGCACTGGGATGGATGGTCATCGTAGGTAGGGGCAAAGAAGGTATGCACAGATTTAAACAAACAATACTGTCTCTCCTCTTAAAAAAAAAAACAAAAAACAAAAAAAAACCCACCCCAATACAAAACAACCTACACACACACACACACACACACACATATACCCTGGAGTATTAGTCTCACTTGCTGAATAAATGAGAGATTCTAGTCCTGAAGTGTCCAACGTCACATGTTAGACAACAGGCCTACAAAATACCCAGTACTCACTCTTTTCTGAAACATAAAAAGGGATTCTCAATTTTAATACCAATATTGGCATGTTGGATGAAAAGAGGTTGAAGGAACCTCATTGTCTGGTGCTGTCTCAGATGTTCTGATCTGACACTGGCCATCCTGTAGAAGGGTAGTTTTAGGGATAGCTTTGCATGGGCTCTTGTTTTCTTTGACCTCCCTACAGCATTCCCCATGGCAAGAACTCAACCAACATTTGCCAAGATGAATGAGGGTCTGATTAAAGTGCCTCTGCTCAGCGCTTCACAGCCCGAGAACAGCGGTGAGTGCATGTCGAGGCTGAAGAACATCAGTCCAGGGTGCTGACTGCCATCCAGGTCGGTCACACCCAGACGCTCTGGCTTTCGGCATGTGAGGTTAGACCTGTACAGTAAGCACAATTCATGATCCTCTCCTATGATACAAATTTCAATATAAGGCTCTATAGAGAGAGATGCACATTTGGCCTTAGGTTTGGGGAATATACTTAGTAAAATCCTTAGGTTTTAGATGTTTAAATCTGACAAAGGGCAAGACATTAATTATACTGCAGCAGAGATGAAAAGCGTACTTAATCATACTTAAAGCACATACAGTCAAATAGGCTTTATAATAGCCACCTTCTAGCCCAGCAACTATCAGGGAAGTCTGATATTGTTACATACTGATTGGAACCAACTCACTGCTGACCTTCCAGGAGGTTTTTGGAGGTTATAATTCACAGGGAAAGACACTATCTCTGTTTCTCCCATGGACCACCAGGTAGATTTGAACCATATGTCTTTGGGCTGGCAACACAATTCCTTCCTACTCAGCCATCAGAGTTCCTTACCATTAAACCACCAGACCATGTTAAGTAGAGGCCATTTCTATAAAAGCATGTTTACTGACAGAATAATCATTACGTTCACCTTTAAAATGTTATTTAAGGGAGCTCTGGTAGCCTGGTGGCAAGAAGTTGCACTGCAATCCCAGAGATCTGTGGTTCGAATCCACCAGATGTTCTCCTGGAGAAGGAGGGACAATCTTCTCCTGTACCAGTCAGATCCAATTTGACAGTACACCCACAAAATAATAATAATAAAAAAAACTTTTAAAAAGTTATTTAATGACCTTGGTCTACTGTTTTAAGAAACTTCTTGTTCCAAGGCTTTAAAGCAATTTGGACTAGAAATTGGTTGTCTACTTCAGCTTGTGAAATGTCCAAAAAATGAACAAAACCCAACTTTCAATAGTATGACTCCTTTCTTGTATTCAAAGACTTGATTCAGTGGGACAGCAATGTATAGGTGCACAAATAAAGTCACCACTAACTGGTTGACTTCCATGCAATTTTGATATCAAACTAGTGATTTGCCCATGGTTAGAATGAATCAATGTACCTGAAGAAAAGAATACTTTTAATACTTAGAAAGCTCCTTCATTCATTAAGAGGCTAGTTATACTGCTAATGTTAGAGCCAAAATTAGATCCTAAACACTCTTCTCTACTGTTGACATATCACCATGAAATACTTTAAAATTAGACTATGAAGATTTTTATCACAAAACATTTCATCAGATGCTGAGTAAGACTGACCATTGACTCTGCTTTGTATTTCAACTTTTTAGCCGCCTTCATGTGAAAATCTGCTTGTTGTCTGAAAGACAAGAGTAAAGGGGGGAAAAAATTCAAAATCAATATGAACCTCAAATTACTAGTTTGGGATAAGAAGAGTAAGAGGAGGGTGAAAGAGGGTGGAGGGGAGCCAGGAAAGAGCTGAGCAATGAGGAAGGAGAAGAGATTAGAAGGAAGAGGAAGAAAAAAAAAAGATATAATGTCTTACTTGTCAAATTTCCCTTGAGGCTTCCCTGGTTTAGAGTTACCATTTGGCAACGAAGGCACTGGAAAAGGATTTGCAGTATCTCCAGCAGATCCCTAAAAAGGAAGAAAGAAATCATTATAGAGATATATTTTCATCTTTAAGGTTATTACTTTCAAAACACCTTCTCTGTTAATTACTCTAAAATAATAATTCAAAGAAAGGAAAACAAACCTTGCACAATTTAGCTTTATCAACCATTTTCCCAGTTACAGACACAATTGAAGTTGTGAAGCGACAGAGTCTTCATACGCTAGTATATAGGTGGCCTAGTGGGTAAGGAGTTGCACCACCTACCCAAAGGCACATGATTCACACAGAAGCTGCCCTGGAGGAGAAAGATGGCTAATCTCCTCCTGTGTAATTTACAGCCTCTGAAAACCTGATTGAGGATCAGCGAGAAGTTAATTCAATTCCGGCTGGATGACGCAAAACAGCAACATATAAGGAGAAAGAACATCAACACAATCCAACACAATAGAGTCTTTTCATCCATACACATGTACATGTCATGTTAACAGGAAAAGAGAAAATGAGTATTTGAGAAAGTGGATCATTTCCCCCATTTTACCAAACAAGAAATGTTGAAACTGAATATTCACACCAAGAACTACATAGGCTAGTCATTTCTCACGGCAAAACCTGAAAATTAGTACCAAACCTATGCTTATTTTTCAACTTCTGAACTACTTGCTTTAAGAATAAACGACATCTAGGAGTTCTGGTGGCCTAGTGATAAGCTAGGCTGCAGTCCAGAAGTCAAGTGGTTTGAATCTAGCAGCTGCTCCATAGGATGGGTTGGTTCCAACTTCATGGTACTCAACAACAACAATGCTAAAATTTTTTTAAAAATAATGATATCTAAAATTTAGTGTAATATTAACTTCTTAAAATTCTCCCTCTTTTAATAAGCACAGTTTTAAATACAAGCAACTCATCATCGTCTTATTAGAAGTGATTGATAGCTCTGAAATATCATCAGGAACTTGCAATGTTTTGGGAATTTAAAGGAAAGCTGTACCAGTGTATCAACTCTGTAGCACAGTTATTGAATGCTCCACTTACTTTGTGTTCTGTGGAGCCTCCAGACCCCTTCTCCTCGACTTTTCTGTGCTTGGGAATGGAAGAGTCTTTCTGGCTGCTCTTGGCACTACTGGCACTTTTGGGAGGGTCCTGGCCATAGGCATCTGCTTCACGCCTGGGCCTCTTGTGTGTAGGCTTGGCTGGCTGCTGGGAGGATGAGGATGAAGACGAAGATGGCCCAGGCGGTGGGGGAAGCATCTCCTTCTTGGAGGGCTCGGAGGAGGACCTGGGTGCTCTGCAGTGAAGCATCATGCAAAAGTAAGTGGAGGAAGAGCACCAGTCGCGCAGCTTAACTGTTTAGTTAGAAGGACAGATGGCTGTGGCATAGCCAGCTGAGACACCACAGGGCAGAAATCTGTTTGTTAGAAGGCTAGTTTTCTGGGACTTTGAGGCGCTCTCTCTAACAGTAACACATGAAGTTGTGATGGTATGCTTTCTCAAGTCTGCAGTGTTTCAGCAGCGCCACATTTCCCCCACTGGGTAAGCAGGGCTCACAGCTGTTCTGCAATGAGAGCCTTGCCCTGAAAGCTGGCAAACCCAACTGCCCCCTTCATCTCATTCTCTCTCAATCTGGTTCAGCTCCTACATGGAACCACTGTGTGTTTTGTTTCTGTCAAGTCATTTTGTGAAGTGATTTCTTTAATAAATCAGAGAGTAAGTAACAGCTACTGTGTATTTACGGCTTCCTGGCATTGGTACCTTTCACCTGCCACCTCTCTCCCCAGCCATTCAGACTCTCACTCCTTTATAAAGAAAAATAACTGTTTGATTATGTATTATTTATATGCATGAGACCTATCTAGAACAAGGGGTGCATTGTGGGGTGGGCTTGTGAGGGGGAAGGAAGGGGGTTAGAAAATGTATAACACTGAATAAATAAAGAATAAGGAGTTAAAAAAAAAAAAAAAAAGAAAAAAAAAAAAGAAGAAAAAGCTCTGAAGCCAGGCTCCAGGAATCCAACCACTGGCCCCGCCCATGAGGATTTCGGTGACCTTGGGCAAACTATTTTATCTGTGTTTGCTTCCTTATCACGAAGTAGGGATAATAACAGTTTCTCCTTAGGTGTGCTTTTTAAGAACCAACTGCTCTAGAAGTTGGGGGTGGGGTGGGGAAGAATTCATATCTAAGGAAGATTTCCACAGCTGAAATCTTGACACTCACTTTGTTTTAGTAGATTCTTTATGGGAGGATGACGATGAAGACGATGCCTGTGATTTCCCTTCTTTCTCCAACTTAATCTTCTTGGTCTCATGGCTTCTTTCTGTTTCACTCTAGGAGCAGTACAGAATAACAAACACATTGTTACAAACATGCTGACAAGTGGAGCCCGGTGGTGGGGAAGAGGAAAGACAGCAAAAAAGAGTAGAACACAGTAAAGGCAGTGAGAGTAAGCTGACTTTTCAAGAGGTGTGTGCACACACAGAGCTCTAATGGCGTCGTCCACACAGGGCTGCCCTGTGAACCCAGAGACTGCACCCCTCTGGTGGCTGGGGTCTGCAAGTGTCTCTTGGGAAGAAAGATACCAATCTCCTATGTACGTTATTTGTAGCCTCTGGAACTCAATGGAAGGTCAGTTACAAGATGGTTCTGACTCGACAGCAATGAGTGTGATGCACACACAGTAAATGTGCACTAATAGCAGATTTGCATAAGGAAAGACCTTTCTTTCATGCCTACAAAGGGCAGGGTGTCTAAAGTTATGGCTGAAAACAAGGAGGAATAAATAAGCACCTACCAATCACTGCCATTTTTCTAAGCATAACAAAATGCACATTTATACCAAATAATGCATGAGAGCATATTGTTTCTCTTTGTTTCAAAATAGCCACTCACGTATACCCAGCTAATTAATTATCTGATTAAAACTCAGTATGGACTACTTATGAAAAGAACATATTGCTGAAAAGGAAACTAGTTTCAAAATCCCTTTGTCTGATCCTCTCACAAACAGAAGTAGAAACACATAAACACTGTGGAATTGCCCATGATTAGTAAAAAATAGTTGCTTTAGAATTTTCACCTTTCATTGGTTCTTCCTGACATAATTTCCTTTAAAAAATATGGTCTCTATTTTTGTCTTTACATTTATGAAGACACATTTTTATGTTTCAAAAATTAGTAAGGATGATTTGAGAGGAGTAGAAAGAGGAGGAGAATATAAAATTCTATAGCTGCTGCTGTTGTTATCATGTGCCAGTGAACTGGAATGGAATCACAGCTGACCCTCCAGTGTCCATCCTTCTCCTGTGGATCTGCTGGTGGATTCAAACTGTATACCTTTGGGTTGGCAGAGCAGCTTCTTACCACTAGGCCATCAGAGTTTCCTAATTTCTACAGCAGTTATTAAGAACTTCAAGAGACACCACTTATTCCAGCCACAGTGCTAAATAATTAGGTATAATCATGAAAAGAACAAATTCTTTTTCATGATCTCAGGTCTTGGTCAACATGTACCCTAACCTTAAATAGGTCTCACTTAGGGCTCCAGGTGGCTTCCCTCCCGGGGATCTGGGTCTCGGCAAGGGCAGTTCGGTAAGAGCGAGCCCACATGCTCTGCAGCAAGTGACAGCAAAGTGATCGGTGGGAGTCCTTCAATTAATTCCGACATGCATTTAGAACTAGATTCCTCCAACTGTCAGTTCACAGAATTAGAAATCTGGGGCACCTCCAGTCAATCTAGGGCAACCCCTAAACACTCTGCAATCCTCTTGAGAAGTCTAAAAAGAACAGAAAATTATTCACATTAACTGCCTGTGGGAGGCCTCCATTTTCACCACTGTCTCTCCCTCTTTCCCCTTAATTTATGTAAGAAAAATGAATGAATTCAGAAATTATAGGCTCAGTCCACCCAGATACCAACCTGACCCCTCTCAAAGAAGGGGAAATAAAAAACCAATCTTCCCTGAGCAGCGTGCAAATGAATGTGCCTGATGGTACACTTCTACTTGGTTCTTTATGGGTGTTTTGTTTTGTTTAAATTATAGCTTATTCAGTAACTTATTCACTGTCTTGTTTAAATACTAGAGTCATTCAAGGTGGCTTATAAAGACACCTGTTTTCAATCTGATGGTGAGTGCCGAGAGAGAAGTAAGGATGGAAAATACTGGTGGAAACGATCTGCCAGTTAAAGCCAAGGGAAGATCCATAGCATTAGAGGCTCCTGACTCTGCACTGTCGCCAAACCTGAGTCCCTGTGTCCCGACTGTCCAGTGAGCACCAGGCCCGGACTACGTCAAACTCAAGAGTGACTGCAAGATGTGAAGCAATTCCCACATTGATTCTGACTCATGGTGACCCATCGATGTCAGAGTAAAACTGTATGCGCCACAGGGCTCATCAGTGGCTGAATTTTCAAAAGCTGTCATGGGACTTTTAGTTTGAGGTAACTCTGTGGGGTCTTGAACCAACAACTTTTAGGTTAGAAGCCAAGCACTTTGACCATCTATATCACTCAGGGACTCCTAAGAGAGAAGAGAAACAGGTAGGTGTGCAGTAATTTTTAATATTCATTATATGTTCAAATGACAACATTTTTAAAATACTGGATTAAATAAAATTATTATTGCAATTACTTCTACTAGTTTTCTTTTTATCATTTTCCCTTTTGACATTCTTTGCTAAGAACTAATCTTCAAATTGAGCTTCTAAGCAGCTAATGCAAAGAAAGGATTCAGAAATGCATAGGAAGAAAAGATACAAAAAGTCAGTTGCTTGGAAATATAAGAATTCATTGTAGAAGAATGGAGACTTATGTATTGTAAAGGCTTCTAAAGAGGAGATGACATGATGTAAATAAGCAAGTTATAAATAGATGGTTATAATGCAGTGACTAAGAATGACAGAAGAATTGATGCCTTTGAACTATGGTGTTGGAGATGAGTGCTGAATGTCACAGGCTGCCAAAAGAAAAAACAGATATGTGATGGAGAAGGTGCAGCCAGCTCTGCTCCTTGAGGCAAAGATGATGAAGCTTCGTCTCACATATTCTGGGCATGTTGCTATCAGAGGTTATTCTCGGAAGAGGGATATCATGCTTGGGAAGGTGGAGGGATGGCAGAAGAGAAGATGAGCCGTAACCAGGAGGGTGGACATAGTGACTATAACAATGGGCTTGAGTGTGTCAGAGATTCTGAGGATGGCACCGGATCGGACATGGTTCAAATCTGTTGTTCACAGGGCCACTATGAGTCGTACCTGATTAATGGCACCTACTAACAGTAATGCAACAGCAAAGTCCTTACAGCGATTTCTCTCATGCCAGCAACAGAATAAACAAGCTAAACCCATTGCAGTCAAGTCAGTTCCAAGTCATGGTGACAGATGACCCTCCACTGAGTTTCTGAGGCCGTACATCTTGCCACGGGGGAATGACCCATCTTTTTTCCATGGGGCAGCTGGACTTTTCAGTAAGCAGCCAGACATGCAGTGAGTGCACTACACCGCCAGGGCCCCTTCGGCATAAGTTAGGAAAGCAGCAAAGAGCTGGCACATGCCAGGGGAAGCCTGCAGGAGCTTTGTGATGGGTCTTTGCACAGGGGACAACCTTCTCATGCAGTAATGTGAGAGATGAACATGCTTTAAAAACGTCTTGGTAAAAACAGACCCCTCTGAGTGACGTGGCAAACCCTTTGTAAATATGACTTTGACTGTATACCCAAGATACCTTGTCACCAAGTGGCCCAGTGAATTCTCACAGCATAACTGACACCCCACCCCTGCCCCCTCATGAATAAGATGAGAAACTTGCTTTTGGGAAAAGCCTCAAAACTTGCCAATTTATCCAAATGGATATTAACTGGGACACGAGATAGTTAGTAATACATGACTGGTAGGTATTTCCAGGCAATTATGACACACTGGAGAAGTACCCAAGGCAAAGCTAAGCATAATCTGCCCACCAGGTTCTTTTCCAAAGAAAATATCAAACTCCAGAGGTGGAATGAGAGTTCATTTTTGTTTGTACATTTTCATAATGCTTAGGATATGCTAGGTTTGACTATAAACCAAAGTGTCAGATTTCATAATCACAAATGAAAATAAGATTCACAGCAAGTCAGCCCTCAAACACTGGTGCTAACTCTGGCTTGTGCCAATCAGTAACTCAAGGGAACAGCAAACAAATAATAAATCACCAAGCACTAAATCTGATGCTAGTATTTAACAACTATGCTGGCGTCTGCTGTAATATATTTCATATTGATATTTATCAACTTAAAAGCTGGTCAGATTGTAGGAGTGAGTGAGTCAAGCATTAAATAAAATAAAAATACCCCTCCTACTGATGCTGCCGGACTGTGGAGTTCCAGCCTACGGGTCTTCAGGGGAGTGTTTTATACTGTGCACTTGGAGCCCTGTCATTTTTCTGTCTGGCTCAGTAACACAGGCTGGCTCAGAGTAGATATTCACTAATTATCTGCCAATAAGCATGGAAATTCAGTTGAGCAGCTGAGGGGCACAGCCAAACGGCACTAAAACTTTAAGTGGCTGGATTTAGGACTGAGTATGAGTGAGGCAAAGAATATTGGGTGGCCAAAAGCACAGCCTTGAATTCCAAGAACAAGACCTGCTGACAAATACCCATGGCATTTTTCAGATTTTTCTGGTCAAGGAGGCATTTGAAAATCAGTTAAGAGCTATGTACTAAAAGAAGTCTCTTTATCTCTGTGGCTAATCCACAGATCAGCCCCATTTCAGGGAATCTGGTATGAGGTCTGCCTTCTAGAATCCTTTCCATTGGGTAAGTGGTGTCTGTACCTAGAGCCACAGGAGCCTTGGGGCTGGTGATCTGGTCCTGCCTGATGGATTGCTTTCCTTTACCTGTTGGGTCAGGTATTAGACGATCTGCCAAATGCTGCTCCACCTACGGAGTGGAGCAAATGGGCAAGAATGAAAACCATAAAAGGAAGAGAAGGGACTGGGAAAAAGCAGGCTGGTTTCTGTGGGAGAATCCCTCCGGGGCACCTCAGAACCTGTCCCAGTAAATGGCTCACCAACTAGGCTTTTGTAGGCAGCAGGGGGGAAAAACTGAAGAACTTTTCCTCCTTAAACAGACACATATTGTGAGCCACAGTTTCTAAAAGGAGAAAATGATAGTCTATTAAGAATGTGCTGTAATGAGAAGCAGGTTAGAGATGGAACATGTGAAGTGGAGGAGGCATGTATGAGGCACCAGCAATGGGCTAAGGGAACTGCCCTGGCGACCACAGCTCCTAGGGTCAGCATGCTCCTCTCGAGCTTGGATCCTGTGCCTTTCTCAAGAACCTCTAAACACGCCTGTATGCACAAACAAACAAACAAACAATCAAATACAAAAAACAAACAAACAAACAAAACAAAACAAAAAAACCCCCATGAGACAGAAGAAAGATCTGGACTTGAGAAGAATGAGGAAGCCTTCCAGGTAAAGGCTGGACATTTGAAAGAATTCTGTTCTTTGAGCACTCAAATTTTAAGACTGAAACATCTTGCCAAAAAGGGAAGCAAAAAAATTGGTAGCACTTGAAGCAAAGGGAAACTAGAGAAGCAACATTTTGAGAACTTCAAGTACTTCCTACAGATTTCACTCTGAAGAAAGTTAAACAAGAAAAGCACATGGGACTCTAAATGCAAGTCAGTGCCAGTGGCAAAGGGCAGGAATCAGGAACTTGAGAAGACACGTTCACTAGGATGTTGTTGTTGATGTTAGGTACCATCAAGTTCACAAGCACAGCAACCCAAGGAATAACAGATCCTGTGCCATTCTCACAAGGTTAAATAATTTAAAAAACACACCAAAATCTGTTTCTTTTCTCTTTCGTGAGGGAACACATCGGCACTGGGATTGTATAAAACAGCCTTAGCTGCCACATGTTCTGATGCTCTTCTCAGAGGGGCTAAGAGACATGAAGGAATTAGACTAAGTGGCTTTAAATTATATGACTTTTCAAAGCCTTGATTTTGAAGGATAATATCTGAGGGATGTAGAAAATGCAGTCAGAGCTTCCTGGGTCAAAAGAACTGAACTGGTAATTCACCCTGGGGGAAGAGAGGTGGGGGATCTTAGCAAGATGGCCAGTGAGCAGATGCTCACCTGGACAGTCTACAACTAAGGCACCAGAGAACAAAGATGACAGATACAGATGATCATTATGGAAACCAGAGTTTCAAAGGAAATGATAGAGAAGTAGTGTAACTACTAACTGAAAGGAGAAACTGAAAGAAAATATCAAATAAGACACAGATAGAGCATGGAATTGGGAATGAACCTGCAGAAAAAATGACTTCTTTTGAATCTGTAAGCTGCTGTCTGATGAGTGCAGGAACCTGGGGCTATGATAGTTACCACACAGTGGTTCTATGATGACAATTAAGTTTCAATCTCCCCCTTGCCTCTCATTCCTTGTCTGGTATGGAGAAAGTAACTTCTCTTCCCATCCCCTTGGTCATCTCCCAGGTGGCCAGAAGTACCACCAAGCTCTATCACCATTCCCCATGAGGACAGGCTTTCACTACTGTGTAGCTGGCACTGGGCAGTTGGATAGCTCCCCAATATGGCACAGTTTAACAAATATAACAAAAAATGCACAATAAGCAGGGACTAAACGATTTGAGATCATCTATAAATTAAATCTTTATGTGCCTCAAATGATTTCTCTAAGAGTTCAAAGATGGAATAAAAATATTAATGATTTATAAACGTCCATTCAGGTGAAACAAAAAAGTCTTATTTAAAAACTGGTTTTTTTACATCAGTGCAAGTATACGTATCATACTGCATTCCCCCTCCTCCTACTCAGTAGGGATTTTTTTACTTTTATGTGTATGGAATTGCTGCGTTCTAATAGCATTGTCATCAGTCACAAGTGGTGTCTGGCTGCCACTGCTGACCACTTTAAAAGGGATCACAGAAGAGTATCTGGGATAGAGTAGGGAGAAATGTGGAAACAAACAGAAATACATTCATATTCATTTTCATTCACGCTCTCTCTCCCTCTCTCTCTGTGACCCTTAATCAAACCCTTTGAACCTCAACAAACCCCTATGGTTCAACTTTCAGCCAAGCAGTTTCATACCATGAACACCACCAATACTTCTTAGAATAACAATAACTTATGGCCAAAAGCTTCAAATTCTTGAAGGCAAGAGGGACAAGATGAAAAGATTAATGGAAATGAGAATCACAGAGAAGAAGTGTGTAGAGTGAATTACATTGTGTGTATTGTAATCAACATAATAAAACAAAATGTATCTGAATGGCTGAATGGAAACCCAATTTGCTTTATACGCTTTCACTTAAATCTCTCTCTTTCTCTCTCTCTCTCACACACACACACAGAGTAGTTGTTATGTGTTGTCGAGTCACAACCAGCTCACAGCTGACACTCCAGTGGGTTTCCAGAGGCAGTATATCACATAGGAGGAGATGGCCCATTTTTCTCCCGAGGAGCAGCTGGTGGATTTGAACTGCCTTCCTTTGGGGTAGTGGAGTAACTCCTTACTAAGCCACCAGAAGTTCCTACACACAGACACAGACACACAAACACACACACACAAACACACAAACACACACACACAGAGCAATTCTTTCAGTAATTAACAAAAAAACCCAACACCACAAAAAACCTAACACTTTTCACAGGTCTTAATTGCTAGAACAATGCTCAATGGGTCAGTGGTAAAACAGCAATGTTAACAGAATAAAGAGTGCATTCCCAAGTGCTACATATCCTAAAAGACAGTCTTTTCAATGGCCATCTGATTTTGTTTTAAAATTTTCAAGACTGATTTAGGAGGGTGTCACTGTCAGGTTCTCTGACACAAGGTAGGAAGCACCATCACTTCAGGTCCAAACACCGAAGGAATAACTCTGTTACCAGGAAGTAAACAACTACTCATTGCCATTAAGATGGAACCCACTCATAGCTGATCCTTCATAAATCGCACCTGAAGGGCACTAAAACCAAACTGGAACTTCCAATGCCTTCAGAGATAACTCAGAGTTTGAACCACCAGCTCATCAGAGGGCTGGCCCCGTCACAGCACACTGTGGGGGAGACTAGTGTCAGGGCCAGCCTCACACGGTACACTGCAGAGGGAGGCCAGCCCTCGACACAGCCCACTACAGAGGGAGGCCAGCCCTCACCACAGCACACTGCAGGGGGCGGCCAGCCCTCACCACAGCACACTGCAGGGGGCGGCCAGCCCTCACCACAGCACAATGCAGGGGGGCGGTCAGCCCTCATCACAGCACACTGCAGGGGGAGGCTGGTTGGAGGCCCAGCCCTCATCACAGCACACTGCAGGGGGAGG